GAAGTTATTGAATGGCAAAATATTCCTTTCAATAAACAAATTGAGAAACTTTTAAATACTACCATTCTGATAACACCATGTGGAGGTGTTTCAATGATAATACCAATGCTCCCTCATGGTGCGCATGCAATTGTTATGGATTACTATGTAACTCAAGAGCAGTACGGATTTAAACGAGGACAAAGTGCTTCAATGGAAGGTGCATTTTTAAATCATTTTCCACATGTTCGAAAACACTACTACCAAGTATACGGACCACAGGATTACGAATTTGACTTTCCGGGAGCTACAGATACTCGTAATGATGCTTCTGTAATTGTAAACGCAACACGTCTACAACTACTAATCGATACAGCTTTAGAAGATATGCAACCATAATGAATATGATATTGTAGGGATGTTTGGATATTTGTGAATTTATTTCAATAAAGATCAAATTGCAATTAAAATAAAAGAAACAGCATAGCCGCTCCGTATGTAGTAGAGACGACTTGATCTTTGAACGATAATCAGACAACAACGAATTATCTCATCGATATTTACATAAATCGATAATGAATGAAAAAAGAAACAGAAACAGAAACGAAAAGAATGTAGTAGACTGTTAAGACGATAGATAGCGTTCCATAAGAAAGGATATTATAGACGAGCTCAACGCAATACACACTAAACAAAATTGATCTTGCACGGAACTAAAAAGTGGTTTATCACTTTGATACAAACTGAGAATGGTTTATTGACTTTGTCAAACTTTGAGTTTATCATTACCCGTTCGTCTAACTAGAGCAGAGACACTAAACTTTAAAAAATTGTATAATAAACACTATAAAAACTATATCCATTACGGTATAGTTACATAAATTTCTCTAGACAAAAAAATTTTACTATTATTTGTAACGAGTTTTTAGATATTCGAGCTATATAAGCTCACTGTATAAGACGGTGTATGAAGGTAATCAATCTAAAGCTCTTTATCGATAGTATTAAGAATTAACCCTTTTTTCTTTATAAATCTATGCGAACGATATCAAACTCAATAAAAGATTTTTCATAGAGCTTATCATTTCCTCTATCTTTATCAATGTACCCTGATCACAAATCACTTGGCAAACTATTTTTGTATTTCTTCTGAAGTTGCCATTGGATTAATACTTTGGAAAAAAATACTGCTAGACTCCATGAAATATGGTTAAAATATATCAGAATTACACTAAATTCAAAAATCTATGTTAACTGTAATATATTGTTACGTCGTTTTGTCAAGCCTCGTAGTAGCTTTGAATCGTGCAAACAAAGATAACTAGATCCTACACGAAAAGTGTGTAGGAGTTTGGATTCTCAGTTATCATATTTATCCTGTCATTGACGCAAAATTTGAAAAATCAATACCCTATCTACTAATAATCTATATGATTTGCTAAGTACGTATTTATATAGATGAGGGTGTGTATGTGTGTGTAGGATTGTCAAATGAATATCCATATCTACAATCACACCCCACAATATTTACATTCAATAAGTTTGAATGTATTTCACACAGATAAATAAGTCCATCTCATTCAGATATAATTCCAAATGATATTATTTCCAATAGAAAACGTTTTTGATATACATGAGTAAATGTAAATCTTTATCAATAACGACATTATGAATCGCTTAAAAATCTATATGATTTATTTGATTCAGGTATCGAACCGAATGTGTCTCATGATAAAATTACAATCGCTAGAATTTTATTTCTTGAATATGTTTGACAATAAGATTTGTCAATAACCTTTGAATTTCAATTTTTCTTTTTTTTCAGATTTAAATATTTTTTTGTGGAATGTGCATCAACATAATTTATTAATATGCCATAAGGAAGAGCAAGTCTATAAGTATTTTGATAATCAGAACAAGAAAATTCACGTTTGTCTGCACTGTAAACAAGAACTTTTCGGCCACGAATATGTCCGTTAATATTAAATGACGAATCAAGATTTTCATCTAATTCATGGTGAACTTGAGAAAAATGAGATGTAAAATAGGCATTGTTTGAGTCTTGATCAACAGAAGCTAAAGAATAAAAAGAGAATGCTTGAATTCTATTTGGCATTTCATAACCAAATCATCATATTTAAAATATCAGTTGTCATTGATGATTATGTGCAAAGATACTTGAGATTAAGACTGATTCATAGCGGAAAATATTCTGAAAATTCTAGCTGAAAATGATGTTAATTTGTGTAGATATTGAAGTTTCAGACTAACTCATTTTTTCTAAAATATCTATACCAAATGATTATTTTTTTTTTTAGAAATTCAGTATTTCCAGAAAAGAACATTATTTTTGACTGAAACTCAGAACATTCTGCAGACCATTAGACCTTCTATGGGCAAAATTATATGTCGACAATTTGGTATAATGATCACAACTTGGCTAGAAAGACCCATAACAAAGAACTCTTTCGGACAGTCACTAGTCTTACCAAAATGCTCTTGTAATTTCTATCTAAGCCCAAATAGCGGCTATCAGTTCAGATGATCTACACAGAAGTAAAGATGCGTAGTAACTGTTTCAAAGTTGAATATCAAAGATTATAGATTATTTTAGATTTCGTATTTGGTTAGAAACTACTGAAATCTGAATGGCTGCTTCTGACCGATGAGATATGATCGATTCGGTATATTTAGTAATATAAACAAGCAATCTTTTGGCATTTGATTCCGTATGATTCGAAGTGATACTCTGTGACTGAGTAATTCTAAGTAATTCTGTGTGATTCCGACTGAAGGTAAGGGATGTGGGTGCGAGTACAAATTAAAAGAGTAGCCTCACTTACACCTTTTTCAGTCAATTTTTAGAGATTTTAATAAAATATTTAGATCATCAAGAAATGAAATTACATGATTTATAAATACAAGATGCCATTGGAACAAACTTTTCAACGCAATACCTATGGGCAAAAATTGTGTTACATATCATTTAGTGCAGATTCGTATGAGCTATAAAGTAGTATACTTCACTTTCAATAGTAGTCACATTTATGATTGGAAACCATGAAACAGTTGTATTATACTATCTGCCATGCAATCAAAAGTATCATCGGATATAAGGATGTGCGCCTTGGTTGTTCATTTACCATGACTTTTGGCTTGCTTATGGATATTCCACGTTGTGTAATTAGAACAAAAATATACGATCTTCCCACTTGATGATGCTTAAATCAAGTATTCTCGATTGTACTAAACATTAAATTCTTTACAGAACATATTTGTTTCTAGAATGGTTACGATTGTAGAATTATGTATGGAGAAAAAACAAATACACGGTAAACATGGCTGTAGTTTATTACCTTATTTAAACTGGCTTTTGTTCTTCGTCATTGGCAGTATTCTCTTCTATACACATATTATTGACATAATTTTTTTTATTCTGTTCTTTTGATGATTTTATTCGTTCTCACTTGTTCATAGTCTTTTTTCTTCAAATTATCGAAATTCACATTCTATTCTTTGTTGTAACATACCATAGCAATTGAATCGATCTATTCTGCAAAAAGAAATCGAATGCGCAGTAAAAAAATATTAAACAGTAATTCAAGTGTATTTTTTTTTCAATTGTTTCCTTGGTAACTTCTCAAACTTGAAAAAGCCAAAATTATGATTGCTTGTTATTGATGAAGGAATAAAAAGGCTGTTTCATCGTCATCAAACTGCTAAAGAATTGTGCACAACTAAAACTTCCATCGCGCATCATCATCTTAAACTTTTGTTTTTATTAAGAAAGTCACTAATAGCTCCTTTCAATCATTATATGACTTAAAGTTTTCGAATCCAATTCATTTGCACAAAATGGAAGAAAAACAACAAGCAATTTGTGTGGCGAAATTATTATAGAGAGAAGTGTCTAATAAAGCTTTTAATTTTTTTTCTTGCAGATAGACATGTATCCAACAGTAATTTATCGAGTTAGTTCACCTGAAACAACACCAACATGTGTTTATGTTGATCATAATGAATCTTCGGTATCCATACAACCGCCTTACAAAATATTAGTGACCACCAATAATAGAAATGACATTGCAAGGGCAGATACAAAGACAATTTATCGTGAATTGAAACAAATAAAGAATGATATTAGAGAATTAAAAAAACAACAAACATCACCAACATTCTATAAGATTAAACAAGAATATCAAAATGATATGTCTTCAATGAGTACCCCATTTTCATCGAATAATCAGCCAAATCTATACTCGCAAAATACAATCCACTATTGTAATGAATGTGATAGCATTCTTGAAGAACGAACATATGCCCAAAATCCAATATTCAGACCAAAAACTGCTACAACAACCTATCGGGACAGTTACAAACGAGTATTGTCATCGCCACAACCTATCGGCTACTTGTGCTATCCTGTTTACTCAGAGCGAGCGGTAACATTAAAGGAACTGCAAAAGCAATTTCCATCACTATCACCTGCTGTTCAAAATCGTCCACAATGGATACCACCCTCAGTCAAAAATACTTATTCGCAGCGACGATAGAATACTAGTGTACTTCATCCACAACTGTGACTACTAATCATAAAAAGTTGATGCGTTCGTCGTTGTGCTGCTCTCCGCGATCGCTGCCGAAGTTGAATTTTTTAATAAAGCAACGCATTCAAATATCGAGACGTCTCCCTTATTCTAGACATTCTTCCTCTGTGGTGAGAGTGTGGGGTATGGAGTGTGGATGAGAGGTCGAAACGGGGTGGGGCAGAGTTAAGTCAGATCTCTGTCATTTTCCTATCCTTAAATTTTATAATAGTGACAGCGGATGTGAATGCTTTGTTCACTTACACTGATGAATAGTCGAAACTGTTGATGAAAAATAGTGATTAAAACAAAATCAACGATAATAAGAAGAGTTAAAGTGGATGTTTACATCGAATTCCAAGCTTTCTTGACTAAAGAGAGCGTCTTATGAAATAAAATGCATTGTTTTGATTTTTTGGTTTCTCACTTGCTTACACATGCCAGGTCACGTGCTCATATGTATTGGCGTAATTTATAAAGTTCGAGCGAAGGTAATCGAGGTCGGAGAATCTGATTCTGTGTTCGACTTCTGAAAATTCTGAGCTAGAATTGTATCATTAAGGAACAGATTTATGGGAAAACAATGCCTTTTGGTTCGACTGAACAGATTAACATAAATATAGAAGGAAAATATCTTTTGAAATTTTGAGAAAGACTTGACTGGCTGAAATTTCGAGCACTCGAAACTCTTCGGTTGTCGTCGTTCGGAGCAATGCATTGAAGGCAACTGATAAACCAAAATTAGAAATTGCAAAAAATTTCTTCACCAAGCTTTCGACCTCTTGAAACGTGAGAATCTGATGGATTGATTTG